AAAAATAAGGAAAAAAAAAAAAAAAAAAAAAGATATATCAGGCGTTATCAGGCACGTGAAACCACTCTCGACGGTGGAATTGTGTCACAAGTTCGAGGAAATTAATTTTTGCCTCGGCAGAGAGGCGACAGGGTGAATCCAATTTTTCTTACGTGCTGGCATGAATCTCGGCCGCGCATTGTCCATTACGCCGACCCCTTTATCCTCGTTAGTTTCGTTTCGCTTTGTCCCGCGTTCTTCGTCCCCTTCAAGGGTCAAGGTACGCCCTATCGTCCCTGCACTGCGTCGGCCATCTATATTTATAGATGGCGCGCCTACCCCTTCATCGTTACACAGCATGAGCGATGTTCTCCTTTATCACAATATCGCGTAACTCTCGCTCCGCCTTATCAACATTCCACGAGTAGCTTTCTCGCCATGAGAATTTTTTTTTTTTTTTTTTGTCATCATATGTCAAAGCGAAATTTCTTTTTTTTTACCAGCAATTAGTTACTATTCGAACAGAGGTGTACTCGTTCGAAATGAAAACTGAGATCGTGCATTTTCTTTTTCACCGCGACACAAGCCATCGCGATTACAGAGTGAATCTGCCTTGGTTTAAAATGAAATTAGTCGCATTTCAAGACGCGACTCCATCTGTTAGAAGAAACAAAAAAAAGCAATTACAATTGTTGAACTAAAAAAAACTCGAGTCCCCTTAAAAAAAAAAAAATAAGGAACACACACACATACACATTGAAAGTCGCAACGAACGTGGAAAGAAGAAAGAAATTAGTCTTGCCTTATCGAATCGTCGCACAGTCAGTTAAATGTCAGTATTAAATGCAAATTCGAAGTCTTATTTAAATTTCAGATGCAATTAGATTCATTTACTCTCGCGGGCGGCAATTATTCGACTTACGGTGCAAGACCGACCGTGGGCTAGAAACGAAGGGGTATCGCGGTGAAAATTTTCTGAATAAATCAACCGCCGCCCGGTGGTGATGCACGAATCCTCCGGGCTGACCCAGCGAACACTGTTTCTACTTTCAACGTCGGCATTTACGGCCTCTCCTCCTCTTTCCCCTTCCACAGCCGCACCAACATCCGCCATCCCTCCCCACTGTGCGATTTACGATCTCGATAACTAGCGATTTTATTCATGGAACCAACTGTGCTCTTTTTTCCCTCAATCTCTCTCTCTTTTCCTTTTGAAAAGAAGTCGGTGACTAAGTAGCGAGCGAAAATTCGGGAGAGAATAACC